ATACATGATTGAGTAACGATAGGAAAAAATTTCGCTATTATCTTCTCTCTTTTGCGAGCAAAGAGTTACGTTAAACGTCACGAAAATTCCTATCTATTGTTAATTAGTTTAAGGTTTGTACGGCGCAAAAATTAAGTCGTCTCTTATCTTCGCCCTTTTGCAAACGAAGATAAGGCACGCGGATCATGCCTTCGTTTGTGTGATGCGATTCACACGAACGTACTCCTGCGCACTGCTGATAGAGAATGTTTCCATTGTGGAACGAGCGAAAAGCGTTTCGAAGATTTTTACGGTTATCTTTTCTAAACGATTAAGATCCGCTCGTTCTATTCGATATGATGCACGACGAATGATTACGAAAGCTTTTATATATTGTTTATTGTTTGTATTGCGTGAGAACACGAGGAAAAAATCTTTGCTATATATGAAGGCAATCATCTTCGTTTCGCGATCAAAAACGCATAAGATTATAGTTTATTCGATATATTTGTGCTATTCGATACCAAGGTTCTTGTATATTGTTTATAATTTCAAGTGTGTGAAATGGATATCTATGATTTGATGACACGTGATCGATATGTATCAATTATTACGATAAGATGTTTGTTTAATTCGATATTTAATTTGGTAACATTGAGCGATAAAAAGTGTGCATTGCATGACACGTGAATTTTACAGAGAAAGAGAACGGAGAAAGGGATTATGAAGAAAATGAACGATTGGCGATGAAATAATTTTTCGTTCACGCGTGAAACGTAAATGAAAGAAGTTATTGAAGAGTAGAGTTTGAATCGAGAAACGAGGAATTAATCGTTTGTGTTAAATTAAAGAGTGATGAAACGTGCGGAATATTGTGGAAAAAGGTTAAATTGGGAAATATTCGCGCGAAAATTGGCTACTGCAAATAACAATTAAAAAGGAATTTTTCCCCTCCCCCCCCCCTCCCCCTTCTTTTTATGCGCACAAATTTCTACCTATCTATCTCACAAGCAATATTTCCTTCCACGTAAAATGAAAAACGAATATTTACGCGATATTAATGAATTTCAACGTGCACACGTAAACACACGTAAGAAAGGAAAGGGTTAATATTTCCGAGTAAAAATCTAATCTCGATGAGTAACCAGCCATAAACACGACGTGGAAAACATGGAAATAAACCTTCCCGTTTTCCGCCACCGACCTTGAAAAATTCGAGAGTTCGATCTTCGATCCGGAATGCACGTAAAGATCGAACCGAAGATATCGAAAACGTTTTTCCTCGAAAAATCAAATTACTATCCTTGTACGTAACGTGGAAACCGTGAAAAATGACGCTCGTTCGGGAAACACGCGAGTCAATACACAGTTATTTTATCCTTTAAATCGAAGCACGAAAGAGTAAAGAAGGAAATTCTTGTGTTTGTTTGAGTTCCTCGCGAGTTACGAATCTTTTTTACGAATGAACGAGTGAAAAAAAAAAACGAAGCTATTGAAGACGTATTTGCGCGGAGATGAATTGTACCAAGATCGAAGAAAAAGATATTTTAATCCCAACGTTTCGACATTCGTGATTCAAATATTTCAAAATTTCGACATATTTCGTTCTATTCTCTATCGATTTCTAAAAAAAAAAATTCATCCGACGATTGAAATTTTGTAAATTTGGATTATAAAAATCGAATGGAAGATACTTTTTCTTTTTTTATCTTTAATAATAAAATAATAAAAAAGAAGATAACGCACGTCGAACAAATCGCAAGTAATGATAACATCGATTATAAATCTCGATGAAAAATTTTCAAAAAACTGGCCACTTTATCGGAGCCGTTATTTCAAAATAAAAAAAAAAAAAAAAGAAAAGAAAAGAAAAGAAAAGAAAAAGAGAGAATTGATAATTATTTAACAA